CAGCAGACCTGCCCCATGTGTTCATTATATGCCCCATAGACTTGAGCTGAGTTTTAAGGATGCTGCCTCGAAGAATCCATGCCACAAGAAGCTGGATGCTCTCCTTACTGGACTCAACCCGTTTGACCACTACAGTCCTCTCGACCGGGCGAACTTGACGGCCTCATTCGAATCACTGGGAAAGAAACCCCTGATGCCCACCAGAGCGACAGGCACCCGCTGGGTCTCACACTTGGACCATTTCTTGCGAGGGTACTCTGCCATTGTTCAACATCTGTGAACATGTATATCCTTATGTGCACTGCTCAAATGGCATTATTTAAAAAATGATTTCTCAACCATGCTTGCACAAAAAAACTAAATGTCAGTTTGAATGCACTTAAAAAATGCACTTGATAAAGTAGATCAAATCTCAAAAAAGAAATGAGCAGCAAGCAAAACCCCTATTTTATTAAATGTGCACATTAAAGCTTGCAATCTGCTCTATTTATGCAAATATAAAACAAATAATGTCTTCATGTTGCTGTTTTTCAGATACAGTCCCCAGATTCCACCGGAGTACGAAGTGACCAGCAGGCCAAGGCCTGAAACTACTATCGTGCTGCAACATCCCTGGACGTGATAAAGTACGCATGGTGACTCTTGTTTGATGTCCTGGCTCATCTTTCCAACCTGTCACGCAAGATGCAGAAGACCAACGATGACTGCATTGCATGAAGCCCTACAGTCAACCAAGACTGTGCTGCTGACTTACAAGAGAAAGTAAGCCTTCATTTTAAAATAAAACATCTTTGGCCTTACAGTTTGACATCTATTAAATGTTCATTAACTTTGTGAACATTTATATTATCATTTTGTAACAAATATAAATTTCAGCAGTTTGTGTTTTGAACTTCTACTGCACTGGTGGAGTCTCCATCAACAGTATCTGAAATAGACAATGTTAAAAAGTAGTATTCTAAACATATTAATAGTTAAAATTTATAGCAGTCTGTATTGTGTGAAACTAACCAATACTTTTACTTTCTCTGTGTAGGCCTGGTCCCATGCTACAGTCGTTCGGGAACAAGATGACCTTTGAGGGAAGGGAACTCTCGGGCGACGGGCGATCATTCCAGGCATCACACCTGAACCTTATGGATGACCTGGTGGCCAACACGGAGAACGGATTTGGGCATGTGAAAGGAGGGGTACTTCATGCCACAAACATTGCAGATTTTGGGTTCTGGCCTGACAAAGTAAACATGACAGGTTGGTTTTGTTTCAATTTATGAACTGCCTCATTTTACTTTATGGTGACAGCACTTTTTTTTTTTAAATGAAGAGGTAATGCTAGGACACCCCTTGGTTTTTAAAGAGTAAGGTTTTTTGATAATTAAATTTTTGTTATTCATTTTATTTTTTCAGACTTTGGAGATGCAGCTGTTGACATCCTGGTAGGGCACTTCAAGCCTGTCCTGGAAGATCCGGGTGTGCAGGTGGACAAAGGTGCCGACGAGTGGACAACACTCCGATCCAAGGTGTATCAGCAGCCCGACTGGTTGGAGTTCATCAAGAAGGTGACATGAACTGAACAGAAGGTACTTTGACGAGTGCCCCAACATTCTCCAGCTCGTGGACCTGCTGCTGACCCTGCTTGCGTCTACAGCTGAATGTGAAAGAGCTTTCAACCACATGAAAACGATAAAGAGTGACTGGCGGTCCAGCCTGTCGGGGAAGAGTGTGGGCGAGCTCATGTCGGTGCTGTTACTGTCGGCAGACATTAAATACTTCGACCCGAAGCCAGCCATAAACATATGGCTTCATGATGTCCAACGGCGAAGGCGTCTTGATTTCACGGATGGAAAGACTTCCACTGCTGCTGAGATGGACGACGCAGAGCCAGAGGAAGATTTCAGGGCCGCTTGCTCTCCATGATGAGCAAGAAATATGACGACGAGCTTGACAAGAACGTTGAGGTGGAGTAACATACTGGTCCACCACTAGCCAAATGTTCAGCCTGCAATCACAATGGTGCCAGAGACTGACACAGTGCTGGTTGAAAAGTGTATTATGTTTGTGAATGTGTACAAAATAAAGGTTTATTACATTTAAAACGGTTCAGTTGTTATTTTGACTCCTTTTGGCAGTTGACCTGTGGGGCCGGTAAATTTTCAGAGTTACCGGCCCGGCTGGCCAGTTGGTTTGAAGTTCATGTCCACCCCTGAACAATAGCAGCTGTGGTAGAAATGTGTTTAGTTTACAAGATTAACTTGTAAGGGTACATCTGAAATCAGTGTTGTGTGCAGTTGTGTATTTTCGGAGGGAAATGGAAGTCACCATGACGTCCGTCCTACACACACCATAAAGACCGCTACTGCCTATGGCAGCCGCATTTTCAGGGTCTACTTTTTATTCTGTGGCTAACAGGATGTTTTAGCTAAGGCTTTAGCTCCATGGAGATGTGGAGCTCATACGGGACTAGAACGTTGTTCATAAACCTGTTCTCACACACTTTAACGTTCATCAAGCAAAATACAAGCAAGTGAAACTCAAGTGCCTTTACGCCCAAGGTCCTCTTTCAAAGTTTACAGCGAACGTTGTAACGACTGCCGGCGTCAGCTAGCTCTCGTTGAACACACACTTTACCATGGTCTCGGTGACCAGCAATCGACAACTCATTAGATTTTAGCTAGCAGCAAACAAGCTACAAACTCTTCATGTGAACGAAGCTTTTATAGCCTGCAGTAATCGCGAGACTTTGAATGTATTCACAACGTACCAACAAAGCCAAGAGGACACTAAATAACAGAGTTTTACTGTTTTATGTGCCAGACGCTTCCCGGGATCAAACAACTTACAAATCAAGACGACCTAATAAAATGTAAGACGTCTGGATAAGGCTGGGCAATATGGCCGAAAATCAATATCACGATATATTGAGGATTTCACATCGATAATGATAAATGAACGATAACTACAGGTATACACGGGGACATAATTGTCCACTAGATGGGGCTGTCACATGTTTGAGTCACATTTCTACTGACCCAAGGTGGTACAGCATCTTAAAGCGACATGAGCGCTGCCAACCTACACACATCTTTCATTTTTATTATCAAATTTATTGACGTGGGAAACTTTATCTCGATAAAAGTCAGAAATTTCGATAACGATAAATTTTCGATTTATTGCGCAGCCCTACGTCTGGACTTAAATTTATGAATTTTAGACCTTTTTAGACTCTAAAACCCCACAGGAACCCTGGCCTAAGGAAAGCGGACGTGACTGAGAACAAGGACAGTGTGATGTCACGAGCAAATTTCCAAGCATGGAAAAAGAGCGCAGAGAAGTCCGCTGCATCTCCAGAGAGAGTTAAGATGGCGCTCGCGCGGGTGCACGCTGCAAGCTGCTCGTCCTCTTTACGCAGTGGTACCTTGCTTTTTACTGGCTTTTATGCATTTTTGTTGTCTCTGATGCTTTTTTTGAAAGGTGTGGATCCTCTGCTGACTTATGATCGAGCCGCGCTGCTGAGGCTTCATCCTCCCGTTGATGTAGCGGGCTCCGCGAGCTGGGAACCTCACGGATGGCGCTGCTGGTTGGAATGCCCGTGTGCTCTCTCCCCCCAAGCCGTGATGTGTCGGCCCTCTGTCCGCCCCAGCTCGAGAAGGAAGCATCGGAGAAGACGGGGAAAGAGAGGTAGCCGGCGCGTGAGACGTCGGCCTGGGTCCCTGAAGAAGCGGCTGGCCCGATTCGGCCCAGCTTCTGACCCGGTGGTTCCGAGATGTCTCCTGGATTACTCGGCACCCTGCCCAGGGAACTTGGCCGGCTCTGAGGGTGAACTGGCACCGCGCCACGGCCGATCGGCTCGAAGATCTCGCCAGACTGGGGTTTGCTGGGAGAATCTGCGCTCGGTTACGGGCACAGAGTTAAAGGAGACTGTGCTCGTGCGCGATCTCGGCGCTGCAGCCCCGCCGCAGACCCGGTTTGGTCTGGTCAATGCCAGGTCTGTGCTGAACAAAACTTTTATACTTCTGGATTTTTTTATTCAGCATGGCTTGGGTTTTCTCTGCATCTGTGAGTCATGGATCCCGTTTGGTGACTCAAGCGCCCTGCTGGAGCTGGTACCACCTGGCTGCTCCTGTCACTCATCACTGCGTCGCCTACAGGTTGTGCAGAAGAGCGCAGCCAGGTTCCTGACTGGGACCAGGAAACGGGACCACATCAGTCCGGTTCTGGCCTCCCTGCACTGGCTTCCGGTTTGCTATCGCTCACAATTCAAAATCCTCGTCTTTGTTTATCATTTCTTCCAGGGTGGTGCTCCCCCCTATCTAGCCACTCTCCTGAACAAACATTCCCCATCACGCGCTCTGCGCTCCTCTGAACAAGGCCTGCTCGCTGTCCCTCGTTCTAGGTGTCGTACTCGCGGGGACCGGGCTTTCTCAGTCCTAGCACCATCTCTCTGGAACCAGTTGCCACCCTCAGTTATGGGCCATTCCCATCTGTACCGGGTCGGCCCGGGCCGGGTAGCCCCAGTCGGCCCCAGCCTGGCCCGGTTGATTCCACACATCCTTGCCTTAAGCCCATGTGGGCTGATTCTACCCACCAATCAGAGGCTTGCTCTAATGGAAGGTGTGAATTTGCTGTCAGCAGTGGGCGTGTTGGCCCTGGTCGGCCTGAAGCAGACCCCCTCGAGAAGAGGGCTGAGAATGAGCCTTGGTTGGCCCGGAAAAATACCAGGCCACCCAGATATGATATGGGCCGTTCCCATCTGTACCGGGTCGGTCCGGGCCGGGTAGCATTTGTTATTCACTATATTTGTACTTCTACTGTGCCATGTTCAGCGCCTTGGGCTTCCTGACAGGGTTGCGGAAGGCGCTTTATAAATAAAGCTTTGATTGATTGATGGATTGAATAAAAGTGGTCCGAGCAGTCTTGCTTTTGGAGACTGTGTGTGTGTGTGTGTGTGTGTGTGTGTGTGTGTGTGTGTGTGTGTGTGTGTGTGTGTGTGTGTGTGAGACCTTGTGTAGCAAAGCGCAGAAACAGTTTGTTTCCTTTAAACGGTTTGATGGCAGGTCTCAGCTCGTTCCTCAGCAGCGACTCCCTCTCAGCTGCTGACAAGTCGTCCACCTGACAAAAACCGCTGAGTCAGTCATTGGTGACACACAAACTGCTGAGTCACTTTGTGACATCACCGTAAACGCTCTACCTGGCCACCATCCACCTTCCTGTTCTGGTCCACTTCTTCATCACCATTCTTCTTCACCTCCTCTTCCACCTCTCCCTCCTCCTCCTCCTCTTCATCATCATCATCATCATCCTCTTCTTCCGACCCTCGAACCCGTCGAGCTGTGATGTTAAAACAGATTAGATTACCTATAATGCACCACACCTTCATGACATGTTCAGTTCAGTCGTGACTCAGACCCACTTTTGTTCCGTTTGCCCGGCTGCTCGCTGGACTCCGTCTCCGTGACAACAACCTCTGGTGTGGGCATCTGGCTGGAGTTGATGAGAGCTCTGATACAGGTGTCATCATCCAGCCAAACTACGTTACCTAGGCGACAACAGGACAGGTGAGATGCTGCTGAGCAGCACTGCTGTCCTGGACCTCTGCTCTGATTGGAGCAGAACGCATTTTGTTACTCTCATGTTCGTTACTCACAGGAAGTGTCATTGATCCACTCAATGTGGGCTGGAGGATACTCCCTGAAGTACCCGAACACATCCTGCGTGCTCATGTCGTCCACACCACTCACGTGGATCGCCTCCATCCGCAGTTTAAAGATGGCTGAGCACCACAGAAGAAGAAAGCTACAGTTCCATAAACCCAAGCAGACTGCTGTTAATGATTTGAAACAGAACACCGGCTCACACCTTTCTTCATGGCATCTTTATCCAGGAAGACGTTCCTCTGACCAACGCTCTCCTCACAGCGGAAGTGGAAACGTCTTGCTCGTTTCTCTTTCCTCTCAAACGCTTCCTGACAAACAAAACCTACAATCAGATACCCGAGACTTGAAGATCACTTTTACAACTGAAATCATTAACAATGATCAAATATGAGCTAAAAGTGTTTCCTGATTATGTTCAGATTTCACAAAATGACCTGAGCTTGTCCTTTATGAGAGCAACATTTACAATCAACAGGAACAGACAAGAAACAACAAACCAGCACCTGCTGTCGCTGAAGTACAGGTGGTACGTGACATCACAGCATTGCATTCTGGGTACTTGAGGCTACATGGGCATAAGTGAACTACCAGCTGCTGTTCCAGAGAAGACGGCGTTCCCAACAGACAACTCGAAGATGGGTGGCGATTATCTAGAGCAACCTAACCCTAACCCAGCGGTCAGAGGAGGATCGGTAACGAGGATATCTGCACGGCTTGGGTTGTGGACTGACGACCCTGCTCAAACCAGTAAGCCGTAGATCTGTTAGTCTGAGCCTTCATCATCTGGAATGTTTAAAATGACGTGGTTTTATCTGAGCGGTGGTCACTGCTGATCCTTGCTCCCATCCATCATGAGGTATGGCAAGCTGTTGTGTGTCACATGAGAAGCACCGCTGTACCTGGCACAGGAGGAGAAGCTCGAACAACTAGTTCTCAGATGAAAGCTCGCCCTTCCCAGAATGTGCTCCTAATCATGAAGAAGCCTCAGCTTGTTAGACCTGCTCGCAGGATGCACTAAAACATCCAGAAGTGTTTCTCCAGCTCAGGTGTGTCCGGTTCCGGTACCTTCGAGTTCACGTCTATCCCGGTGATGAACGCTCCGGCCTTGTTCTCGTACCTCCGGCTGGTGTCCTGAAAACAGCAGATCCAGAATCAGCCTGAGGAGCTTTCCCGGGGGGAGACCTCACCTTGTATTGTTTACGTTTGTGTCATCTACCCTTGACAGAAACAAACAAACTCCTGGCTTTTATTCATCTCTCGGACTACAAACAAGTAGATTTTAAATTGTGATTTTTCTTCATTAACGAAACCTTTGACTTCAAAGCCATTAAACGGAGACAGAAAGCGCGGTTGCTAACCGGGGAGAGCCGCTGCTTCAGCGCCGGCGCCTCCCGCTGCTCGGCCGGCGGGAGGCACACGCGAGTCCCCGGTCCATCGAGGCCTAGTCGGAAACTTACCGGGAGCAGCTCCTTCAGAGAGCGGTTAACCGAGATGTCCTCCGCCTCCAGCTCTCCCTCCTCCACCTCCATTGGTTCGGCCTCACGGGCATCTCGATCTGACTCGGAGTCTGAGTTCGGTTCCGAGCGATCCGAACCGCTGTCTGATTTAACCTGTAAACTGCGCACTGCCGCCATGGCGCTAACTGCAGCAAACAACCGCAGGTGGTGCTGCGCTGAATCCTGCGACAATTCAGCGCGCTTCTTCTTCTACGGTGCAATTTTTTTTAAACAATCTTTATTGACACATTTGCAGCTGACAAGACATAATATATTGACAAAACAACATCGATGTACAGGGTGTGATACATTGACAAACAGAGAAGAAAAAGAAAACACTGTTAATGAAAGTAAACATAAATAATTATATACAAACAAAATAACATAAAATAAAACAAAATTCCACTAATACATTACCTTGTAATATGGGGCATAATAGAATTCATCAAGTTGCATATTTTCACAGCTTTCTTGTTTTTACTAATTCTACGTACAGTCTCATGAAAAAAATTAAGATCAATATAAAATAAAGTTACATTTGGTATAGTCTGTAGAAATCTGACTTTATGAATGTGAAATTTACCCAACAGACACAGCAATTTTATTACATTGTTAACTTCCTTGTTACATTTAACGTTTAAGAATAAGACCATACTTTCATTAAAAGTAATCAATATTTTATGAGAATCCCAAACTAATGAAGACAATTGATTCCAAAACTGTACAACTAAAGGACAACCATAAAACAAATGAGTAAGAGACTCAACACCTGTTTTGCAAAAGGAACATAAAGGGGACACATCAGGTCTAAATCTATTAATAAATTCATTACACGGATTATATCTATGTAAGATTTTCAAGTGTATTTCTTTAACTTTATTGGGGACAAAAAATTTCTGAACCTCAGAAAAGGCATTGCTACTGATGTCAGGAAACATTACCCTCCAACGATGTAATGAATTTGGAACCTGACTATATAGAGAGGTGAAAACGGCTCTAATGTGAGCATTGTTACATGAGTGCTCTTCAAGAAGCTTTCCACCAAGACACAGTGCAGGAATCCTTCCTGTGTAAGGTGTATACTGACCAGGAGCTCTGACAAGAGACAGTAAATGAACAGGAATGCTTTGGAGGATTCTAGAATGCATAGCGAGAGATGTGTTGAACCCCTTTCGTTGGATGAATTCATCGTAGGTAGCTAGGTCCCCGTTATCATTCAAAAGATCAAACACAAACATAACACCTTGATCATACCAGTCTTTGTAAAACAGAGTCTTGTTCTTGTGAGCAATATGTTGATTGTTCCATAAAGTACATGTGTGAGGGGAAAAGTTGTGTTTGAAAGCCATTTTCCAAGTGTCCAGGGCTTGTTTGTGAAAGTTGGCCAGTTTAATAGGCAGTTTATCTGAGGTAAAGTTGCATGAAAGCAAGAACTTTAAACCGCCACATTTGTTAACCAAAAAAATTGGGAATAAAAAACCATGGTTCATTATTATGTGAAAGACAATGTTTTAACCAATTAATTTTGAATATATTGTTGATAGTTTGGAAATCCAATACATTAAGACCCCCCTCTGAAATCTGTCTAATAAGTGTTTTCCTCTTTACATATTCATTTTTATGTTTCCAAATAAACTTAAATAAGAGTGAATCAATAGCTGCACAGGTTTTGCTATCAACATAAAAATAAAGCTGGGTATACTAACCTGGATAATCCTTCAGCCTTGGAGAGTAAAACACGACCTATAATGGTAAGATCCCTCTGTAGCCAGCAATTAAAGACAGATTTAGATTTCTCAATTTTAGGGTTGAAGTTTTTTAAAATTCTTTCACTAGAGGATTTGCTTAATGTGATAACCAAATATTTAACTTCTTTTTTAACCTCTATGCCATCTATTGATACGGTGTCTAAATCATGTATGGCTTAGGGTTATTGAAAAATGGGAGGTGGATCTATCAGTTAGCTTTGACCAGAACTTCTGGTCCCAAACTTGTTTAAAAACTTTAAAAATGATCAGACACTCCAATTTACAATTAATTATGTACAAAATTTTACAAAGAGTACACTATACAGTAGGGCTGCAACAACGAATCGATAAATTCGATGAAAATCGATTACTAAAAGCGTTGGCAACGAATTGCGTCATCGATTCGTTGTGTCGCACAACTCTTCCAAAAGCGCCCCCCCCCCCCCCCCCCATTCCCGCCCGCCGTTGCGCGCAGACCAGAGCAAGTCAGATCAGCGCGAGGGAGAGCCGCAGATCAGCGCGAGGGAGAGCCGCAGATCAGCGCGAGGGAGAGGCAGGAAGATCAGCGCGAGGGAGAGCCGCAGATCAGCGCGAGGGAGAGCCGCAGATCAGCGCGAGGGAGAGCCGCAGATCAGCGCGAGGGAGAGCCGCAGATCAGCGCGAGGGAGAGCCGGCAGATCAGCGCGAGGGAGAGCCGGCAGATCAGCGCGAGGGAGAGCCGCAGATCAGCGCGAGGGAGAGCCGGCAGACTTGCGCTGCTGCGAACCGGTTCCGCATTGTTGCACAGCGATCCAGGCAGCTGCTTCCAGCGCACGGTCCATTCTCAAAGTGGCGCAACCAAAAAACTATAATTTGCACACGATCGTTCATGTCCGCACATGTTCTCTATTTTCTGTCTTATCTGTGCCTGAAGCTCGCTACTGCGGAGCTCATCACCTGTGCTGTGGTGATGTCACCTCACGCAGCATCGAAAACGCGCTCTGCGCTTTTCGGTCAGGAGATCCCTTTGATCTGCTCAAAAGTAACTGATGAGGTGAAAAGGTAAGAATCCAGGCAACAGATTTTCTGGAGAATTAAGAGGAGATGCAGGAAGATGAGAGACAGACAGGACAGGAAAATAGTTAAATAAAAACAAGAAAACAAAACAAAGTGTTGAAAAGTAAAATGTAGGTAGATTTATCTCCACGACACGTTTTTACCAGTAAAAAACAATAAGTTCTACACATGTAATATTTATACATCTGATACAATTCAGATCACCTTCAAAACTCAGTCACACACCCAGGGCCGTTTCAAGACATTTTGGGGGCCAAGGCAAAATGCCCCCCCCCCCCCCCCCAATAACTGGGCTCCCCAGAAGCCTCTGTGTAATTCATGCCCTCTCCAGTAGTGTTAGTTATATGGTGTTTATAAAAGCCCCTCAGACATTACTGACATGCTCTAATATTATCAGATGAAAAACTAAATTATCAGACATGCTGTCTCATCTGCTTCTTTTATAAACTTGCAAAAAGTAACAAAACCATTTGAAAGCCACTATTTGTGGATTCTCTGAAAGTTTCCATGGAGTGTGTGACAACTTATTTTTTTCATTGATCCTACTGTCTAATCTCACAGCTGAAACAAGTATCCTTAATAATCTGTGCACAGGAAGCTTACTGATGCTGTAGTAAAACAAAAGGTATAATAATTTATTATTAATAAAAACTTGTTGCAGCACTAAAGCAGAAAAATTAGATTTTGCATTAAATATGCAAAATATTTACATATGAATTGTTTTAGAGCCCTTTAATTGGCAGAATCTGATATTAATTTAGTTCTTACAAAAAATGGGTCCCAACATGGTTTTTGTGGCGTTGCCATAGTGTGACGTCATAGGCACAGATCCCCTGTCCTCTTGTTTGGAAATGGAAATATGGTCACCCTACATTAAACAAACTGTCCACCCGGGCTTTTGCACTGCACAGAGACGCTTCGCTGCCTACGACTGAACGTCAGTTGAGAGTCAGTCTCATGCAGACTGACCAATGAAGAGAGGGCCTCAAGTTAAGACCCTCTCCTCATTGGTCAGTCCACACGAGGTGGGTCAAAGGTTACTCTGGGTGGCTTACGTGTTGTCAGGCATTCAAGTATTGAGTATATTTACTGCATATTACAGTAAAATATTCTGTATGTGACCACATTATGGTGATCCTTGGGTCGTGATGATGGAGCCCTTAAATATTGTTGCCCAGGGTACAACAAAGTGTTAATCTGGCCCTGGTTCCGCCGTCACATTCCCGCAGAAACTGGTTGATCACACCGGGGCCAGACTACTAGTATGTGGTTTTACAACCACAATGTCCTCAGAAGCAAAAACGCTTTTAAAAGGGAGGGAGGAGTCCTAACTGTTGCTGCAGGCATGTTGTGTGAGAGTGCAGTTATATACTGGTTAATATATTTTTGGGTTCAGTTGCTTTCATGTGGCCTAATGTGAGTCTATTTGGGATCATTGGAATGATCAGCAGCATTTCTTGATGTGACTTTATGGCAGTTGCCCAGGGCATCATCACAAGGAGGATGGCATTCATTTACTTTTGTTTTATTTGGTATTTTTTCAGTCATTTTTGGAAATAGTGATCAATTTTGATTAATTCACAGCCTATGTTTAATTACATTTAAAATAAATGTCAACAGATGAGATCAAGCAAAACAGATGAGAATTGCCCTTAAGCTGTTTAACTTGGACCAAGCATTTTAGGTCACAGATAGATGTAGCCTAGGGTCTCTGTCTATACACCTTATAAGACAATTTAGGTGATGGCATGTTGTTTTTCTGCTATTGAACTGTTTTCTAATAATGTTGTGTTAAATAAAGTGAAGGAAGGAGAGAAATAACGTTTCCCTAGCAGTTTTTAAAAATTTCCCCATGTAATCCGATTAATCGATTAATCGTGTCGAGACCCCATCCGATTAATCGATTATCCAAATAATCGTTTGTTGCAGCCCTACTATACAGGTCATCGGATGTTCAAGATGGGGTTTGTGTCGTCTGACACCTGTACACACTGCACAAACAACATTCCTGACAATTACATTCACGCAGTGTGGTCCTGTCCACCTGTCCAGGAATTTTGGGGTGGGTATGTGAAGACCTGTCAAAGTCTCTGAAATATCATATCCCAACCGCCCCCTCTCTTTGTTTACTGGGAAACCTGGACGATGTCCTGACTGAAACATCTTGGGCTCATGTGGTTCTGACTGCCATATGTATCGCTAAGAAAACTATCCTCTTGAATTGGAAAATAGAGATACTCTGTATCAACCAGTATAGAAATCTTTTGTTAGATCATATTACACTTGATATAGCCTCTGCTTCCACTTCAAATCAATCTCTCTTGACTTATTTGATCGGTTCCATCACATAGCGATGACGGGGTACCATTGATATTGTCCTGCGTGATGATGTGGGTGAG